TATATATATATATATATGGTATGTTGAAAAATATTCCACAATTTAAGTGTATTTAGTAGTCATGTTTTAGCTCACTCTGAGTCTCAATCATTTCAGTCTATGATAATATACTGTATTTTAACTAGTTTTTAGCTAAAATGTTTAGCTTTGTCTATAATTCTTTCTTTCCTTCTTGTACCATCGTAGTAAAGGCATTAGTCCTTTTAACATCTCCACTCTTTCTGTCGTCTCAGGTTGTGGTTTGCTTTATTCTGCTATGTTTGGCATGATGTCGCAGACCTCATGGTTTCCAAAGAAGATATTTTTTGGAGCAGAAGACACAATAGTTGTAGCAAAGGCAGGTCATGCAGATTTAAGGTTGGATCATTCTCATGGGATAGAATTTTGAGTGCCTGTGGCTTTGAGAGAGTGCCTCCAGTAAGTGAATTTATCCAAACCGAATGGAGTTGTGGGTCACCATAGTAATCTAATGTGGACTACAATCATGGCTGCTACTGTCAGACACCAGAATACGGTGGCTGTTAGAAGTGTAATTCAGTGGAGGATGCTGGGAAATGGCACTTGTGGGAGACTTTGCCTCCAGCCCTGTCTACCTGTATACTGTGAATAAGGAGAGGAATAAGGACTAATATGTGCAGAGAGCATAAAACATCATACTTTTACTAAATATGGGAATAAAATGATTTTTTATAATATATCTATAAATATGCATCGCAGGCATGACAGGCATACACGCCTGTCACTGTGTATGCATTTTCATGTATAAACAGATGTACACATACATATGCATATCATACAACATTTGAAAGTGAATTGGAAATAATCACATAATATACAACACATATTAAGCTCTAGCAACTTCAGAGGGCATTGTGAATGAGATTTTTGTTGTGCGCAGATTTACATTCAGTTTGTGGTTTGGGATCAAACCGTTAACATTATATCAAGGCTGTTACAGAACTCTGAATAAACCATGGCATCTTACACAACCTCATCGCCTCTTTGGGTTATTTGCTGCGGGGCAACACAAACACCCAACACTCAGTGGCTGAGGGACTGCTCGTGAAAGCAAACAAGAACACAGACAAATCTCCCACTGCACCCATCTTGTGCGATGAACGGGGAGACCCGGGATACAGGGATATAAACAAAACAAAAAAGACAAGATAAAACAAATTAATAGCAAACCAACCAAAACAATAAAATAATGGTGACAGTACAGGAGTGGGTGGGCAGAGAAGTGCACGATGGGATTGTCTTCACTTTAGGTCCAGGACATCTTCTTCGAAGGACGTGGAGAGGGCGAATGCGCTGGCGAGAGGCGGGCTCTCCGCTCGCAGCACCACCTTCTCTGGCTCTGCCTCAGAACTGGATGAACAATGCAGCTGGACGTCCAAGTCGGTTTCAACAGACTCTGAGGCTAACCTGTTATGCACAGAAAGATATGACTCCAGCTCACATTACGCAACTGTTAAATGTGCAATGTTGCTGCGGTTAAATCTGTCACCTGTCACTGTTTGTTGACGTCAGTACTCGTGCTTTGGGCTCCTCCTCAGTGTTCTTCTTGCTCATCTTCCTCTGTTTGACTGTTCCACTGTCTGACTTCCCACTTGGTTCCTCTGTCAAGCCTTTGTTGGTATGAGGTAACAGAAAATGTCAGATTTTAGACAATTTGTTTGACTTTCACTTTCTTGATGAAAAGAAATAAGAATCATCAACTCTCAGCAAGAAGGCTAACAGGCTTCCCCAAATGTCAAACTATTGCTTTAACACACTCATTAAAATATTCACATAATGCTAATTTCTTTTTTTACCGAGCAGCTCCTTCCGTGTGCGGCTGGCTATCTCTTTGATCTCCATGCGGGACAGGGACAGTGAGTGTGTAGCAGAGATGAGGGGAGTCGGGGGCATCATGATGGGTGCCGGCGTCAGAACCTTGTTGACCAGTGGTGACTTGAGGGGTCTTTCGATGCTACGGCCGACTAAGTTACACAGAGGGATCTTGAACATGTGCTTACATGCTGCTTCACCTGGGGAAAAGAAATGGATGGGAAGGGAGAGAGCAGCGGGGAAAGTCAGAAAGAAGGAAGGAGGCAGGTGACAAGAAGAAGACATGAAACAAAAGATAAAAAGAGCAAAGATGGGAACAGAATGTCGGAAAAGAGACACGTATAAAAGGGAGAGGAAATGTGTGGCAGTTAATGAAAAATGTATGAAGATCATGGCCTGATGCACTACAATGTTTTTGCATGTTTTAGCTAAAAAAAAGCATATTTAAAGCATGCGATACGCAGCCACTGAACATTTTGTATTTTTGTATTTTATTTTTAGTCAGAGAATGCCGTTGGAAATAGTGACAATTTCTCAAACTACATAAATCTATATTTTTGGAAATATGCTTATTTGATTTAGATGAGAAGATAGACACCACTCTCATGTCTGGTAAATATGAAGCTAAGCCTGCAGGTGGTAAGTTTAGCTTAGCTTAGCTTAAAGACAGCTAGCTGGCTCTGTCCGAAGGTCAACATTTCTTAAAAATCTGACTAACAACAAAACCTGAAAGCTCACTAATTAACATTCCTCATTTGTGTAGTCCGTACAAAAACCAAAGTGGGACAATGTCAATTTGTGAATAGCTTTGTCCTAGCATCAGTTTATAAAAATATATATATTTCTGTTCCGAAGGTATTTTCATATTTCCTAAAGAATATTTTAACCACCTGCATGATAAAGTTGCGTCTTTGTTTCCTAATCTAAAGAAATAAAATATCCAGCCAAATGAATAGAAAACACAAGCGCAACTTGAGAAATGGGTTTAAAATGGATGGAATATAATCTATAATATAAAAAGTATTGAGTATTGCATTGTTAAACTACCTTCTGGATGTTTCACTCAGTATTTATCTTTCAGAGCAACAATTGCCTACCTCTCTTATCCTAATATAGCTAATGCTACATTAAAAAGAGGCACAAACTGGAGATAGCTGTTTACTCCTGCTTCTTTATGCTATGCTAAGTTAACTGCCTGGTGCCAGTAAGACATGAGAGTGCTATTGATTTTCTCATGTAATCTCTGGCAAGAATATTTCCCAAAATACCCAACTACTCCTTTTAAAACCTTGGTGGTGCATTCAAGTGCATTCAACTAATGCCTCGCTCTCTTGTTTTATATTGTCAGAAAATCAAACTCACAACACAAACATAGTGTAGATGTTGTTAGAAGCATAATGAAAGCTGGTAATTTCTTGTAAAAAAGAAAGAATGCAGCGGTAGAGAGTTTTCAAAACAGACACTGATTGCAACAGCATTTTTCTCACAAAGCTGTGTTCATTGTGATGAATAACCATCCTCGAGCAAATTTCAACCCTCTGCACATCAATTTTCATAGCACAGAAAAATGAATGTAAGAAAGCCATACAAACGTATGGTGTGATTTGGAAAATAGTCATTGTAATGCAGTTTATGTAACTGGATTAACTAAAACATGCAAAATGACTTTTTTTGTGACTTTATATAAACCCAAAGTCTCTCTCTCACTTACACACTCAACCTCAGACAAGTCTGGAGGTTGACGAGCTGATGCAATAGAACCAGACGTCCATTTTCAAATGAAGACATTTTAAAGTGATTAATAGTCCTATTTACTGAAACGGCATGTGATCTTAAAATGAATCGTCCTTCTCACAGAGAGATAATGCAATATAACTGTTCAGATGTAGCCATTTATAGCAGACCATCTATTATTCAGCGGAGACTATAAAGTCTGTTTGGGCCACATTTAATGGATGTTGGTAGTTTTTTCAAATGGCACAATCTGCCCGCAAAGCTGCATTGTATCAACCTGCAGTGCCCAATTACGCCACGAGGGAGCAACATTGCAGTGCAGCAGCCACGCTCTGCTCCCGTTGAGACAGGCTGGTAGTAACATGGGTGAGACTGAATTAATGTGAAGGCTACGCTGCACAAAGAGGACCGTCTCATCTGAAATGTCAGCGGTTGAGAGGTGAGTAAAGAGCCACGAAGAAAAATAGAGGGTCACTGTTGATGTTTGACAGGTACACTGTGTTAGCGTTGTTACAGATCCTCTCTCCTGTACCTGCGCTGTCATACAGAAAAAAAATGGCAATAAACCAAAATGTGGGAAAGCATGCAGTTATTTGGAATATATAGTCACAGACATCAATATATTCCACATGCATTTCTGGACCAGGGGAAGTGTCATGCTCCATCGCACTGGCAAATGAATTAAATACAAATATTAGGGTTTTCAGCACTAATTGAGGTCGAATTCTCCAGAGCTGCTTTGCTGCAGGTCTTTGGTGTGTGTTTAAGCCAGTGGAGGGAGGTGGTGGCCAGCAGCCACATCAGTAACAGCATCTTGTTCACATTACTGATGCGATTACATCAGATGAAACCCTCCCCAAGGAGCAGATACGGCAGGCGCACAGGCAGTTAGAGGATGGGATTTTTGTCAGCACCCCTTCCACCTTTCTTCCCCTTCTTCAGCCTCCTCCCACCTCCCTCTGCTATACAGCCCCCCACCCACCCTCACACTCAGATTGTGGCACCGCTGTTTGGACTACCACTTTGGATCGAAGAGAGGGCTGACAAAAGTCTCCATGGCGACAGTGCAATCTGTAAATCATGCTGCGGCAGACGTGTCTTCTCCTTCCCTCTTTCCCTTTTCTCCCTCCTTCTCTCCCCAACCTCCTGCTTGTACACAACCCCTCCCTTTTCTCTCGCAGTCATGCATACCTTCTCTGCGTCTCCTCCTATCTCCCCCCCCCCCCCCCCCC